GGGCCCAAAATGAAAATAATTACAGATAAAGGCCCGATATTTAAAAATTATTACAAATAAGGGCCCAAATATACCGTTAATATTACTAGCCGATTTAAATGTAATGGTATCATGATTAATTGCTTCATTTCGTGGTTAAATAGATGTTTTAGAATTATAGCTCATTATTCAGAATTAAAAAACAAAATCCAACCGACTGACAGATTTTTGAAATCCTGCAATGCAAAACGAAAAATCAACTATGTGTGGCCTAATAGTTTACTTGTGTGGCCTAATAATTTACTTCTCCAAGCTACAGTTATGATGTCTAACCCGGACTCGGATCCACAAAAACGTCCTACTGCTGAGGATATTTGGAATGAACTTACAGAATGGAATAAAAACATGAAAAATTCAGATGCTAAAAGCCAGCTTATTAAAGGGCAATTCTTAAAAGCAAATAAAATAGCTAAAGAATTACAAATTATATCATCTAAGAAATCCGATTCTATGTACACTAGCAAAATTATTAGCACACAAAATATATCAAGTGCAATTAAAAGTGCCCATTCTAAAAATCATGCTACATTAACAAGTAAGCACATCGATGAAGTTCCTGTTGGTAAGTATTATATTACAGGATTTACAGTTAAACAAATTTATTACTAATTTTAAATCTACGTATATTAAGGTGAATGAATTACCACATATATTTATTTTAAAAACACGCTATTGTTACCTTGAGAGGTTAAGTCATTTGAACTCAAAGACATGAATGTCGTGAGATTACGTGATCAAAACCACGGTGTTACACTTGGAAATGGAGACGTTTTTATTATTTTTATGTATTTTGTTTAAGTATATACATTATTATACTGTATTCTCTTATTTTATTTGGTTAGTACATATTACACTATTGTTCTATTTCGGGTGAATGGTTGGGATCTAGATAGCCCCTAATGAGGGATAATAACCCTATGTGAGGGTTAAAAACCCTTGATGAAGGTGGAAAGTGTTAAATGTTTCTTATAAGGGTAAAATAACCCCGTTATGAGAGTATATAAAGGAAAGGTTTTTGATAAATACAGTTCAATTAACGTTCGTGCTTATTTGTTTGGAAGCAAATATGTTCTAAGTGCACTTCCCAATAACAAATGTATAAATGAAACGTTAATAATGAACCCATTGCCCAATATATCGTTAGACAATTATATTTTTTGAATACTTTTCTGAAGCCTGCATAGAGAGATTGTTATACACATCGTAATCACATGAGCACGACTTATTTGCTCTTTGAACCTGAAATCTTTTCCACTAAGATTACGATTCACTAAGGCTCTCTCCCGATCGTAACACCGGCAGTCGCAAAGACACGTATTGCTAACTTTTCTATTGGAACTAATCGCTATTCATCCCCCATTCTTCTTACTATTTCTTTATATACAATAATACAGCCATTTCTCTATTATCTCTATTTATCATATTGTTACCAATCATAGAATTATCTCTATTCATCAAATTCATAAATATCCCCACTTGAATATTAATTAGAGTAATCGAATTTGCCTTATTATAATGTCAAACCATTCTATTAAAAAAATATATACAGCAGTCAGTGAGAGCTTAAAAAGTGATATTTGTAAATATCATACAAGAATCCTAATAAAAACAAATTCAAATCGCTGAATATTTTAATTCTCAAGATTCAAAACTGAACCTTGACCGTTCAACTATCTCTAAAATACTCAAAGAAAAAGATAAATGGTTGACCGTTATTAAAAGTCAAATAACTTCAGATACTTTTCATTATAAAAAAGTAAAGTTTCCTTTATTAGACCAAGCTATGAAGCTATAGGTAGAGCAGGTTGTTAGTAATGGGCTATTTTTAACTGAAGCGCTTATCAAGGAAAAGGCTGCTTACTTTGTTAAGGCTCTTGCATTACGTGATAATGAGCTAAAGTTTTCTAATAGTTTGATAAGACAATTTAAAAAATGAAATGGTTTGTGAAAGTTCCAATTACATGAAGAAGCTGGCAGTGTATCAACTGATGATCTTTCAGAATTTCGACGAAATTTACAAAATATTATTAAGCCATATAAATTGAAAGATATATTTAATGCAGACAAAACTGGCTTGTTTTTTCATATAGCACCAAATCAAATGTTGGCATCTCAATCTCGACCATGTTGGAAAAAAGCAAGTAGTTTTAGTTATTTGAATATTTTAAGTCTAAGAACTATATAAAGATAATTTTTAGTTCTCATAATATAAATTTTTTAAAAAAACATATCCACCAATTTGGTTTTACCCAAAATTAGCCAATCATAATCAAGAATTATTTGCTATTAAAACTTATTCTTTACAATAACAGTCTTTTAAACTTATATTTAATCCATAATTAAGTGTATAGAATATTTTAATATTTATATGTTTAATTATTAGCTGAAAGTAAGTTAAAAAGATAGTTTTTCTGAAAATTGCCTTATTATCCATTATACAACCAATTGTTCAAGGACAAACCGATCATTCACTACTTGAAAATACTCTAACACTTCAACAACTAGTAATAGTGTTTCTTTTCACAGCTTGGCATAGCTGTTCTTTGAATATTTATTGCTTAGTTATCTCATATAGAGTTTAAAAAACTATTTAATTTGAAGGTTTCATTTGTTATTTGTTACATTAATTAATAGCAGAAGTTTGTGTAATGGTTTATCAAAAAAGATCACTAAAAATCAAATCAGTAGATATGATAACCCAACACTTGTTTTTTAATTTTAACTTAGCTGAATTATAAGAACTAAAAATTAACTTTGCTTAGCTATATCATTATAAAATTTATACTTTATACTACAGTATTATCTAAATAAGTTCTTTCAAATTGATAATAAATTTATAATTGTACACATATTTCCATTCTCTTAGCATGCAATGCAACTGGTACTGAAAAACTAAAACTCCTTGTAATAGGATCATTGATTAAACCATGGGCATTATCTGGAATAAATCATGCCACATTACCTGTAACAGATTATGCTAATTCCAAGAAGCAACATATTTGGAAAATGGTTAAAAGATCTTGACAATCAATTTTGATTAAAAAATTTAAAAATTTTACTCTTACTTGATAATACAACAAGTCATTTTAATCCAGATTTACATTCATCTAATGAAGAACCTAGCTATAGTAATTCTGAAAATTCACAACCTACTGGGTCAAATAGTTATTAAAATAGAAGTGGTCACAATTATAGTCACATTCATAGTTGCAATTATAGTCGTGATCATGGCCGCCCAAAGTCAAACAATAATAACAAACAAAATCAACCTGTTCAACAGAGTAAAGGCAAGCATGGTAGAGGTCGATCAAGTATTTATATACTTTCTGATTTGTCTAACTATCAGCCAACAAATATTCAAATTAAATTTTTATATACTCTTACTACTCTGTATCTTCAGCCTATGAATGTAAAAATTATTAAATGCTTTAAAGCAAAATATTAAAAAAAATATATTTAACATATTTTGGATTAGTATGAAAAGGACTAAATATTCGAGATCCTGAGTAAGTTTACTGTATATTTAAAATTTAGTACTATAATTTTTTATCTAATTTTTTTTTGTTAGAAATAAATTAAATATTAAGGAAGCCATTGATTATGTAACAACTTTATGGAATGAAATAGATGAGTTAACAATGGTAAACTGTTAGATAAAGACAAATATTTTACTATTAATATCAAATGATGATGTCAAACTTGCACAAAATACATATTTAGCAACAATTGATCACAAGGAAAATGAAATGCATAAAATAGTAATTGATCTTACTGATTTAACAGTTTTACAAGAAATAGATTCTTTTAGAGAGATTAATACTAACCATATTCCTACAGAAGAAATACTTGATGATAACCAAATTGTTGAAACTGTATTAGTAGAGCAATTAGAACGTGAACAAGGTGATCCAAATGATTCTGATAAAGAACCACCAAAAATTTTTGCTGCTGAAGGATTAAACAGATTAAAAACTTTTATCTCATTTGCTGAACAAATGGATATTGATTTTTTCTTTAATAATAATGACTTAACTGTATTTTGAAAATATATCCCAATAATAAAGTGAAAAATTACTGAATTCATAAAGCAGAAATCTATTTCAGATTTTTTAGAATACCGGTAGAAGATCAACTATGTCATTAATGAATATTCTTCCAATGAAGCAGATTTTCCTTATAACAATAATTTCTCAGATAATAATAATAATTTTTTCGGCAATAATCTTTCTGACAATTACCTTCTAGATGATTATTTTTATGACAATTACCTTTCTGAATATAACTTTTCTGATGATGGCTTTTCTAATGATGGCTTCTCTGATAATGATAATGATTTTTCTGATAATGATTTTTCTGGAAATAATAATTTTTCTGATTATAGTGGTTTTTCTGATAATTATGACAATTATTCTGATGATTATGAATGATAATAAAAGTTTAGAACAAGTTAGTTTTATTATAAATTCTTGGATTTTATAAAGAATCAAATTATTAAACAATATAATCTATCAAAAACATGTAATTATCATTTTGAGATTATATTATTACTATGTATAAAGTGCTTATTTTATAGGTATATTGAATAAATATACATTTAAAATAAATATACAAATGAAATGCATCAGTACTACTGGTCATATAGCTGAATCAATGCTGGCTAGCCAAAGGTACCAGAAATAAATTTAATTAAAGAACATGAAGTCTGCAGAATATATTATGAGTAATTTTAGCTAAGTAAATTGAACTGAAATGATGATATGCTCTCAGAAAATTAGTAATATTGCGCTAGTAATCAATATAACAATAGAATGAGCAAAAAGTAGAATGAGCAAGAAGCAGCATCAGCTGGTGGTTTCTCGCCTGCTCAAAGCATGTCGGCTATTAAATAGAAAAATGGCAAAATCAGAAGGCTACAGTGTGCAGAGAAAGAGGAGGGTTAAGAAATTTGTTTGCTGAAGACTATTGTATCAAAGTGAGAAAGATTGTTGAAATCGACTTCTCTTTGTTAGCTGTTTATATATCGATTGCAGTTAGTGGCTTATTTAATTACATATTCTTGGTTGCATATGATTCATGCAATTGAATTAATTGATTATTAATCAATTCGTTCTTTGATCCCAATCACTGCTTCACTCCATGATTTGAGGGCACAGATTGTAGTATATGGAGTATAACTCTGATTAGTCCTTCTCTTTTTTTTTGATCCGTTGACCCTTGTCAACATACATTAAATAATTGTATAAATAATAATTATAAATATGTAGTTTATGATAATGTAACAAAATAGTAATTATTTCGAATATTATTTATTATTAGATTCAGCCTTGATTATTAAAAAAGGAATTTTACCTAAGAATTACTTTAATGTTATAGTTGCAATAGTCTTTGTCCTTGGTTAGATTTACAATATCTTCAGTACAGTATATATCAAAATTAGATCTAGAGCTCATAAGAAGTCTTTCATATGATTGGCTGTTTAAATCAATTTAATTTTATATTATTTATGCAGTTTAAAGTATTTTTTAAAAAGGTTTGTTGAAATGTCAAAACCTCAATTACTTATCTTTTGAATGTAGAATGCTTATTAAAATTTAATGCAACAGAATACTTATAATAGAATTAAAATTAAATAAAAATATAAAACTAAAAAAATTTTATGCATTTTAGATAGTACTATATCGTATTTTCTAAGTTCAAGCTTCAGCTTATATGTATTATTAGCTTGTATAGTAAAGTGAATCCTATGAAATAGATATGTACTGTACAGTACAATGACAACAGTTAGTAAAAGAGTTTAGATAAGTATATGCGTAAGTTTCTTGAATTATCTTATGGCAAAGAAAATTATTAATACAGTATTATTTTTTCTATTTCTATATTCAAGAGATTTTAGTGAAGTTTATATATTATACTACTAAGAATACTAGTAACATTTAAATTTAAGGAAAAGTAGATATTTTATTTAAACTGAATTATGATTAATAGTACTCTAATACAAAACTATTCTACTTTTGATACTAGATACTTTATTAAACTTATTCCTCTTCAAGTAAAAAACCTAATTAAAAAAATTTAGCTGTAGAAGCTTCAACTTCAGTTGCCCAGCTTAAAGATTGAATTCATCTCAACTTGAGATTCATGAATTAAACTCAGAAGAGTACTTGAATCATGTAATTGATATCAATTATTTGAATTATTCAAATTATTCGAATCACAGAGTTTACCTTATATTCTACAATATAAAAACAGATTTGGGTGTCAGACTCTAACAACTGCAGACTCAAAACATGATAAACTCAAATTATTTAAGTTATGAGTTGATGAGCCTAGTTATTGCACCAGCTTCTTCTTTTAATGATTTTACCAATTTAAATTGTTTGTTGCAATAACAATTGATCAATTCATAAAGTTGTTAGTGAAAGTTGCTTTATGGCAGTAAGAAAAAACTTTTTTTCAAAATAATATAGTATATTTTTGTTTATAAGTAACTTATAGTAATTTTGCAGTTGCTACATTGTACCAAAAATAGTATAGATACAAATATGCTTAAAGATAGGTTATGTTTATTATATTAGTATTAAGATATGTATCAATTATTTGTTTTAAAACTTTGAGTAAAATAAAATCGCTATTTTTTAGCTTGAAAAGAAATTTATTGAAATTATGTTTATAAACATTTAATAATTTATTATTTAATGTGATTATATAGAAGGATAATATATATATATATTTATTTATTATACTATTTTGATGTAATAGTGATTATAAGTGAATTGTGATTATATATAAGTATTTTTATAAGTAAGAAATTTGTATTAAAAATTTATATGATTATAGAGGAGTTGTGATTATAAAGGAGGTAATTATAGAGAAGGAAGACTGTATTTCTTTTATAATTTTTTAGTGCATCTTTTGTTATTTTTTTAGTGTTTCTTTTATCATTTTAGGTTGTTTTTTTTATTGTTTTCAGGTTTTCTTTTTTTGATTCTTTTATTATTTTTGGTGCTTCTTTTCAGTACTTTTTTTGTTATTTTTTCAGTATTTTTTTTATTACATTTTGGTGCTTTTTCAATTTTTTTTTGATATTTTATTTATTGTTTTTCAATGTACTTTTGGTGCTTCTTTTTTTTTATACTTTTTTGGTGCTTTTTTTATCATTTTTTAAGTGCTTTTTTTGTCATTTTTTGGATACTTCTTTCATCGTTTTTCAGGTGCTTCTTTCATCATTTTTTGTTTTTTTTCATAATTTTTAGTGCTTTTTTTATTGTTTTTTTGTTACTTTTTGATGCTTATTTAGTTATTTATTTATTTGATGCTTCTTTTGTAGCCTTTTTAGTTTTTTTAGTGCATCTTTATGACTTTTTTGATACAATTTTTGGCATTTTATTTATTTTGTAATAATTTAAGTAAAATTTTATAATAATCTAATAAAAAAATATATAAACTTAAAAAAATAAAATAAATAAAAGATTAAAAATAAATGTGTTAAAATAAACATTAAGGTAAACTTTAAATAAAGATATTTTAATGAATTCTTAATCAAATTTGATCAATTTTTTTTATTCAAATTCTACAATTTATAGAATTCAAAAAAAAATATATTAAATTTGATTAGATATTTATCAGGATATCTTTGTTTAAAGTTGTAAGAATTTGGTACAACTTGTATCTTATAAATATGTAGATTTTTTTAAAACTTTGATAATATCTCAACAAATACTTAAATAAATATGATAAATTTTAAAAATAATATATATATATATGCTGTCTTTATTAATATCAAAAATAGCAT